CTGGCCAACATGGTGAAACCCCATCTCTACTAAAAATACAAAAATTATCTGGTCATGGTGGCTAGTGCCTGTAATCCCTGCTACTCAGCCTCCTGAGTAGCTGGGATTACAGGCACGCGCCACCATGCCCAGCTAATTTTTTGTATTTTTAGTAGAGACGGGGTTTCACCATGTTGACCAGGATGGTCTTGATCTCTTGACCTCGTGATCCACCCATCTCGGCCTCCCAAAGTGCTGGGATTACAGGCTTGAGCCACCGCGCCCAGCCTTGTTTTGTTTTTTTTGAGACAGAAAATTGCTCTGTCACCCAGGCTGGAGCAGTGGTGCGATCTCGGCTCCCTGCAACCCCCACCTCCCAGGTTCAGGCAATTCTCCTGCCTTAGCCTCCCGAGTAGCTGGGACTACAGGCGTCTACCACCACACCGGCTAATTTTTGTATTTTCAATAGAGACGGGGTTTCACCATGTTGGTCAGGCTGGTCTCGAACTCAAACTCCTGACCTCAGATGATCCACCCACCTTGACCTCCCAAAGTGCTGGGATTATAGGTATGAGCCACTGCACCCGGCCATAATTTTCTTTTTTTAAATAGGCAGGGTCTCACCATGTGGCCCAGGCCAGTCTCGAACTCCTAGACTCAAGTGATCCTCCGCCTCGGCCTCCCAAAATGCTGGGATTACAGGCATGAGCCACCATGCCCACCCTCAAGTGATCAGATTTTTCTAAGAGGCTTAGAGTCTGCACTAGCTTGAGTTGGGTGTGCTTCTCACCCATGAAATGGTAACCAGTACTCAGTCCTCTGGGGGTGCAGCATTAAAACAGGAAGAGGTGGCCAGGTGCAGTGGCTCATACTTGTAATCCCAGTGATTTGGGAGGCCAAGATGAGAGGATCCCTTGAGCCCGGGAGTTTGAGGCTATAGTGAGCCATGATTGTGCCACTGCACTCCAGCCTTGGTGACAGAACGAGGCCCTATCTCTAAACAACAACAAAAAATCCCAAAACCCCCCAAACCAGGAAGAGGACATTTCTGAGCCCTTAAAGAAAACCTCAGGGGGGCTGGGCGTGGTGGCTAACGCCTGTAATTCCCACACTTTGGGAGGCTGAGGTGCGTGGATCACCTGAGGTCAGGAGATCAAGACTAGCCTGGCCAACATGGTAAAACCCCATCTCTACTAAAAACACCAAAAATTAGCCAGGCATAGTGGTGGGTGCCTGTAATCCCAGCCATTCAGGAGGCTGAGACAGGAGAATCACTTGAACCCAGGAGGTTGCAGTGAGCCAAGATCGTGCCATTGCACTCCAGCCTGGATGACAAGAGTAAAATTCCGTGTGAAAAAAATAAAAAAGAAAAGAAAACTTGAGCAGAAGGTGTCTTGGTTGTTTGTTAGATAGTCACTCAGAGATAACCTCAGAGCTGGGTCCAGACCCCAGGCTGTGGGGCTGTATTTGGGGGAGACTTCAGGGACTGGGGAAGAATTGGTAGGTGACCTGTCAGAAGTAGGCATGGTCAGAGTGCCCCTTCCCCAGTGCCTCTCCCTGAGGAACCACCTGAGGTTTCTGGCTGGGATTCCCAAAGCCACACCACATCCCAGGGGACGGGACTCCATCACACCAAGCACAGAAACTTCCTCTTCTCTGGGCAGCTGGGGCTTCCCAGAGGTCAAAGACCAAAAATCAAAGGCAGGGGCATTGGTTGGGGGAATGGCAGGGCTGTAAAACCCCGGTTCCTAACCCACATTAATTTTTTGTTTTTGAGACAGTCTCGCTCTGTCATCGCCCAGGCTGGTGTGGCGCGATCTCGGCTCACTGAAACCTCCACCTCCCAGGTTCATGATTCTCCTGCCTCAGCCTCCTGAGTAGCTGGGATTACAGGTGCCCATCACTACGCCCGGCTAATTTTTGTGTTTTTAGTAGAGACAGTGTTTCACCATGTTGTTCAGGCTGGTCTTGAACTCCAGACCTCATGATCTGCCCACCTCGGCCTCCCAAAGTGCTGGGATCACAGGCATGAGCCACCACACCTAGCCTAAATATGTTTCTTCTTTAGAGGCAAGGTCTCGCTTTGTTGCCCAGGCTGGAGTGCAGTGGCTCAATCCTAGCTCACCACAGCCTGGGCTCAAGTGATCCCCCCACCTCAACCTCCCGAGTAGATGGGACTACAGGTACACATCACCACGTCTGGCTAATTTTTTCATTTTTTTGTTGAGGCAGGGTCTTGCTGTGTTGCCTAGGCTGGTCTCAAACTCCTGGACTCAAGTGACCCTCTTGCCTAGGCCTCCCAAAGTGCTGGGATTATAGGCGTAAGCCAGGACACCTGGTCCCTAGCCCACATTAAGGGCACAGTGACTGAATGGTTGCTCTTTCTGCAACCTGCTAGCCTCCTGGGGTCCACACTGCCTCCTCCATTACTGCCACCCCTGGGAAAGAGGCCACCATCTCCACTGTCCCATCACTACAGACATTACTGGGCCCCCTGGCCTGGTCAGACAATCTACCGTGAGGGCTGTGCCCAGGGGAATCCTACAAATGACTCCTCACTAGACCACACCAGGCAGAGAGCAGCAGCAAGGAGGGCCCAGCTATGGTCACCACCAGACTGCTTCAACCCAGAAGAGGAAAAAATTGTAGGAGCCCCCAAATCTGTGAAAGGAATCAGAAAGGCCATTCTTACCAGGCAAAATGGCTCATACCTGTAATCTCAGGATTTGGAGAGGCCGAGGCGAGAGGACTGCTGGAGCCCAGGAGTTCAGGACAAGCCTGGGCAACATAGCGAGACCCTGTCGCTAAAAAAAAAAAAAAATTAGCTAAAGCCAGGTCCAGTGACTCATGCCTGTAATTCCAGCACTTTGGGAGACTGAGGCGGGAAGATTGCTGGAGCTCACAAGTTCAACACAAACCTGGGTAACATAGTGAGACCCATGGCTACAAAAAGAATAAAAATCAGCCAGGCATGGTGGCACACACTTGTAGTCTCAGCTACACTGGACGCTGGGGTGGGAGGATCTCTTGAGCGCAGGAGTTGGAGGCTGCAGTAAGCTAAGATTGTACCACTGCATTTCAGCCTGGGCAAAAGAGCAAGACCTCATCTCTCTCTCACTCTCTCTTTGTTTTTGAGGCAGAGTCTTGCTCTGTTGCCCAGGCTGGAGTGCAGTGGCACAATCTCCGCTCACCACGCCCGGCTAATTTTTGTATTTTTAGTACAGATGGGGTTTCACCATGTTGGTCAGGCTGGTCTTGACTTGAACTCCCGACCTCAGTTGATCCACCGGCCTCGGCCTCCCAAAGTGCTGGGATTACAGGCATGAGCCACCTCGCCTGGCCAAGACCCCATCTCTTAAAAAACAAAATAAGGGGTGTTCCGTGTGTGCCCCATGTGTCCTGCCCCATCAGAAACTTGGTCCTAACCCCGTCATCACACACCCCTTTGCCTCACATCCAAGCACACTCCCTACCCCGCACTTATATCTTTTGTGTCCCCTGGATGACACTCAGGCCACACAAACGTATAGTCACCCTGCCTCACGTCACACACGCATGCCGTCGCTCGCATCTGCCAACACACCCGAGGCCCAGGTGCGGTCACACACCATCCCACGCAGAGACTCAACACTCACCTCTGGACACCTGCAGCTCCATCTGCAGCTTCCTCACCTCCTCCTGGAGTCTTCCCAGCAAATCCGAAGCTGCGTGCCTCTGATTCAATTCTTGGGGAGTCAAGGTGGGGGGAGGTGCTCAGAGATCGACGGGCAGGCCCCCTCCTTGTCCCTTCCCTTCCCCATTGCCCCATCCCCTCCCAAGCCTCACCCTGGGACTTGAAGCTGCTCAGATCTTCTTCAAGTTTATTCAGGTTCCGGTACAGCTGAGAGTCTGGTGTGTGCAGGAGCGCAGGGCTGGTCTCAGGGATGTGTATTCCCCAGCCTGGCCCCCAGCCTCATGCTCCCCCAGGGCTCTGAGACATTCCCTCCTTCCCACCCAATCTGCCTCCATAACCCCAACCCCAGTCTCTCACCCTCAGATTTCATTTTCTGCTGTTCAGCTCGAAGTTCCTCCAAGCTCTGTGAAATCTCCGTGGCTGTTTGCAGGGGAGAGGCTTCATGCTAACCAGGTCCTCACTGTCTCCCCCATCTCCCTACACCCATCCCTTGGCCTCTTTGCCTGGGTTCTTTTTCCCCCCGCGCCCCCCAAGATGGAGTCTTGTTCTGTCGCCCAGGCTGGAGTGCAGTGGTGAGATCTCGGCTGACCACAACCTCCGCCTCCCAGGTTCAAGTAGTTAATCCTGCCTCAGCCTCCTGAGTAGCTGGGATTACAGGCACGTGACACCATGCCCAGCTGATTTTTGTAGTAGAGATGGTGTTACACCATGTTGGTCAGGCTGGTCTCGAACTCCTGATATCATGATCCGCCTGCCTCAGCCTCCCAAAGTGCTGGGATTACAGAGGTGAGCCACTGCGTCCGGCCTGCCTGGGTTCTAAAGGTCACCTGCTCAGTCTGCAGTTCATGGGTGTGTGTGTTGGGGGGAGCACAGTGAGTCATTTTTTTTTTTTTTTTTTGAGACGGAGTTTTGCTCTTGTTACTCAGGCTGGAGTGCAATGGCACGATCTCGGCTCACTGCAACCTCTGCCTCCTGGGTTCAGGCAATTCTCCTGCCTCAGCCT